TCAAGGCAAAAGCCAGCAACTCGGCTGGAAATTGCATATTACGATGCGTAGTTCTACTGACTCGAATATACTCTGTAATTTTATTATTTGTATTTATTTATTAATTATGATTGGATGAAAAATGTTTTTGTATAACATTTATTACCGAAAGCCACTCAGCATACTAATCTATACGATATATATCTGCCCGCTGTCTCAGACGAACGTATAATTTTCACAACTTGGCCGCGCTTCAGGCCGAAGTAGCGGGCCACGGGGTCACCCGCCTGTATGCGCATCAACATATTCTCCTTTAGTTTATATCTGCTGAGAAGTTCTTGTTTGTCTTCTGCTGTCATTACCACATGCTCCGGTACCAGCTCATGCTCCGTTATATTGATCAGCAACTCAGACTCCAGAAACTGTTCTAGAATATACTTAGGGGCCATATCCACTAGCGATTGCTTAGCAGAGGGCGTCATGCCGCCCTGCACGACGACGATGGCCCTGTGGATGTTCTCCTCTTGCATGCGGGTGCAGTATGTTTTGATAGTCTTGATGCCAATCTTGGGTTCCTCGGGGAAGAATACAAACATCTGGTCAGTGGGATCGTCATTGTGGGCCACCAACACGATTAGGTCGGACCGCGATGGACGTTTGTCACTTGGCTTGTCGCCAAACATTTCTTTAAACTGTTCCAAAGTCTGGTCCAATTCATCCTGGGTCACAAGGTAACCACGGTCGTGGCTCAGTTGCATGATCGTCTTGCGTATACGCCAGAGCTTGTAAGTTTCCGCCTCGTCATCCATTATTCCGGTAATTTCTATTTAGTTTTTCGTAAATATGGGAAACACGCCGCTCTTGCGTGAAGTTTTGCCGATTTAATAGTGAACGTACTCGATATTTTGCGTGATAAATAAGTGTTGGTGAACGTTTAAAGGTCGCGCCTCACCAACACTTTAAGCAGCAGGGCAGCGTTGCGCGCGCTCTAGCAAAATTTCAAATAGACAGGATGAGCTTAGTTAGTTATCAAGTCGCGTATTGTCTGTCATTATCGACTATGCTGACGTGTTGTCACCGCATAATGTACAGGCTGTGTTTCTTTTAATATTTTACGTGCACATTTTAATTATCAAGCAGGCGCATTACAATAGCTGTGCATGCAGCTGTTTTATGCCATGTCTTTACACTACTATCAAGAAATGTCACCAATGTTTTTGATTACGCACATACAGAAGACTTGACCTCAGCGGGCGTGATACCCAGCATTCAGGTAACGAGAGTAACATTTCAATTATGTACAGGGTATCTTATGGCAGCTCCAAAGAAGCAGAATTGATGAGGAGCTTAAAATAATTTGAAATATCATTGTATGACTTTCGCTTTGGGGTTTCCTGAGCTCACGTCCTATGTCAACGAAAATGACTGACAGTTTAGCTAATAGAAAATTTTCTGCCTGTTGTGTTTTTTAAGTCACACATAGTTTCCCCCCATTGACAAATTGTGCGGAAAATGTGAAAATGAATGAATGAATATTCCTGAATTTTGCATTTTTAATAGCAGTGCATATGATATTGCATCTAACCAGTGCTGCCAGCTGTTGAGCTCCGAAATAAGTTTTATTATGGATAAAATTCTGCTAAAATAGGCAAAAATGGACAAACCTATAAGAAGAAAAAAATTTTAATAGTACACACAGTGAAAGTGAAAAATGTATGGATTCATTTCCTCTAAGTATTTCTTCCAGCTATTTCCTCTGAGTCTTTCTTTCAAGTAATTCCTGTAAGTAGTTTCCTAAGTAGTTCCCTAAGTATTTCCTCCAAGTATTTTATCCGAGTATTTTTATTATCTCCACGATCACACACTTCAGTTCACTTTACTCAAGTTTCCTCAACATTGAGCCCGACTCGAAGTAGAGATCGTTCCAGTCGTGCATAAAAATACCAATGGGAACACTCTCTGCTCATGGAAGCATTCTAGCATCGTTTTACTCAAATATTAATACCAAATGAATACTGGTGCATACCTATACACAACTTAAATGAACTTCGGTAGTTCTTCTTCGTCAGAGAAACAGACGGAGAGACAGACAGAGAGACCTATATATAACAATCGCGTATAGTTAAATCAGATTACCTCTTTACGATGTATATGTATATACTTAATGGGGCTAAATGTTGATATGATAAATAGCTTATTATCATTAATATTGATAATTATAGATGGCATAAACAGCAGTTTCTTCCGTTCTATAGTTTTTTGAAGGACGAGGACTTCTGAATAGTCTGCCGGAATTTTTGGCTGCTTTATACTCATTTTAAAGGATTTATAATAAATTTCAAATAGGCGACTAGCCTGAATTAGGCTAAACTGGCAGCACTGCCTCTAAAAGCAGCAATAAAATAACGAAAGCAACGAAGTTCTAATGCATTTAAGCCACTTTGACCATATGGTTGCCAACGCACAGAAAACAATACGCTTTTCTATATATACGTACATATATAGTATAAAGGTTTTCAAGAAATGCAAATCTAATAAAAATCCACTTTGTGAAAGTATGAAAAATGACGATGAATTTCATTATAAATGCAAAAATTATTGTGGGCAACGAGATAAAAGGGCTGCTAAGCGCGCCCTGTGGCCGCGTCGTCATCATCAACGTCATCATCGTCATCTTCTTTATCAGCATCAGCGCTGGACAGCTTCAGTAAATCTGATCAAAATCATTGATGCGCAAAGCATGAGGAAGTAGCTGCAGCGAAACGTGGAGCTTGGTGCGTCGAGCGCGAACGTCGAACGTGGTGCATCCTTCAGTCGCGCAAAGTTTCAGCTAAGCTGTTGATAACATTGATGATAATAGCGGGAGGAGTGCGGGAGAACTGTGAAGAAGGAGAAAGATAACCGCAGCGATAATAGGTGAAGCCACAGTCAGGTAAACCGTAGCCAACGAAGGGGCGAAGGTGAGGTGCGTGCGCTGCATTAAGAAATTTTGCTTTGAGGTAAGATTTATTTTTATGCCCTCAATGGATCCACTGCAAGATGATTAAATTTACTATTTAGAGTATTTTACTACCAATCAAAATTTCGTTAACAATACGGATTTGAATTAATTAGGAATTAAGTTCATTGAAAAATCAACACGGCTACAAACTGTGTAATTCAATATTTGATGGAGAGGGTAGCTTCGAGTCGGCTCCATTTGCTCGTACGCTCTTTCGTTTTGTTTCAGCGACCCTAGGTGATGGCGACAGAATAATTTCATAGGATTGAACGTGGCGAGGAATGCATAATTATTAGCGTCTGTGTCCATTGACATTGAGCTAGGCAAATTATGGCAACTGTCGCAGCGGATCCGTTGAATGAAAAAAGAGAGAAGAAAACAAACATAATCTAAGCGCTGCAGTGCTGCAGCCCGCTCCTCTTCCATCCATCTGTTTGGACTCGGAACTGGCACGCAATTATTTGTATAGGAATTTAAATTGAATGTCAGTCTGTTTGTCTCTGTAAAAAAACAGCAACGACAGACAGACAGACAGACAGACAGACACCCAGCACATTGGCAGAGCGAGACTCGAGCGAGGAGAGTCGAAGTCGAAGTCATCTGCGAGACTCCTTCGAGCACACATATGTGTGTGGGCGGGTGAGTGTGCGTGTGTGTGCGCGAGTGTGTGTAGAAGATGTTCTCCTGTTCCGTCTGCTGTAAAATTCCAAATTTGTTTTATTTGATTTCTGTGCTGCTGCTGCTGCTGCTTTGCTCGTTTTCTTGCTCTGCTGCTGCTGCTGCTGCTGCATATTTCCCTTTTTATGCAAAATATATGCTATAAATGCCACGCCCACCCACCTACGTCTCGCCCTATCTGCCGCCTGGGCCGCCTTTATTTGAATATCGTGTCACATGTCGCACGCAGTTAGTAGTTGCCGCCTGTCCGCCGTCCGCCGTCCGCCGTCCGTACGTTCCGTTCCGTTCCGTTTGTTGTTATTGTAATTGTTGTAAATGTCGCCAGCGACAATATCACATTTGCATATTTTTGTGCAAACACACGGCGACTCCTGTCCCCCTCACATTCCCAGCAGCAGCCCTGGCCCCTACGCCATGGCCCGCCCACTCCATGTGCGCCTCCCTGTGTGCATTTTTACTTAATTTTATTTGTATTGGATTTGCGCTGATGTCTCCTTGAAGCCCACTTCTGCGAACTGCTGATGCTACTGCTGCTGCTGCTGCTGCGGCGTTTTGGAATTTTGCAATTTTCACAATAAATTTTAATTCAATTTACTGTTAAGTTCACACAACTAAAAGCGGACGCGGAAGTGCACATTCTGGCATGACAATCGTCCTCCTCTCGGCAGCGCCAACTCTCAACATCCTGCATCCTGCAGCTGGAATTGAAATTTGAGAGCTGCAGAGCTGGTTATCTAGATAAAAGATACAGTGCAAGCTGCCATTGTGAAACCCTTTAGCTTGTCGCTTAGCCATCAACTGCAATTGAGCTAGACGATTCAATCTCTTGAATGAACTTTCTGATTTGCTCTTCTGTGTGCTCCATCAGTTCTTCTCCCTAGTAAGCACTGCACTGTATTGCTAGGAAAGAACAGCAATACTAATGCGCCTGCAGGCGCTTACTCAACTATTGGCACTGACTGACCCATGTGATTGATAGTTAAGCTGTCCTCAAGTTGGACTGATCCACCACTTCGACTAATCTCTTGCATTTTCTCTTAATGACAGGTGAACGCAATCGTATGATAGACTTAGATGTGATCTCAATCTCTCCCTCTTAGTTTCTCTATATCTTAGGTTCTTCTTCTCTTCCGTTACATGTCTTATGTGTAAGCTCTCCCGCTCTCATTTTCCCTCTTCCGCTCTCTCTCTTTCTCACTCCCTATGTCTGTCTTTCTGTAATTTGATAAAGTTCTGCTCTAGCCGGTACATACTGTACTGTTGCTTTGCAAACTATTGTAAGTTGTGTGCTCTGGCTCTGGCTCTGGCTTCGGCTATGTTACTGCCGCTGCCTTCGCTTCTGCCTTAAATTCTGCCTCTGACTTTGCGTAGCCAGCGCTGCAGAGTATACAATAATTTGCGCATATTATGGTAATGGCCGTCGCGCATGTGCAGCAGTTGGGATTTTGATTGTGGAGCTAAGCTCACTGATTAGCTTGAAGTGAATTGAATGTGTGCGGGGCGGTGGGGCTGGGGTGGGGTCTGAGTAGAGACGACACTTTCGACTACAGACTACACTCATTTGAATTTGTTATCAAAATTTGTTATTCACCATTGGTTTAGTTTAACGGGTTTCGTACGGCTCAGATAATTGGCTCCAATGGCCAAACCAGCGCAGCAGGACTCCGAGGTACCCCAGCCCCCGGCCCCGTCCATTCTGTGAGTAGTTGTTGGATTTCGCGAAGAGCTCGGCCTTAATTAAATCTTGAAATGTGCCTGCAGCGGCTTACCCAACAGCCCGTCCAGATCATCGATTTACATCTACAATCCCTACGAGAAACGCACTGTTGAGGTGCCCCTAACGTAAGTGAGTTGTCGGGAGGCGTTGCCCGTTATGAATCGAGCATTTAGCAGCTAGCAATGGTGGTGATTCAACTTCTGTCCCCACAGCAACTTCGATGCATTCGTCTCCCTGCTGAAGTGCGTGATTGGCACAGGCATTCTGGCCATGCCGCTGGCCATGCGCTACGCTGGCATCATGTCCGGCGTGCTGCTCTCCGTGCTGCTAATGGTCTTGCTTACCTACTGCATTCACTTGCTGGTGAGTCTCCGCAGTTGCCTGCTCTGCTGCCCGTGCGCAGTCCAAATCGCAATTATTTGCATTTAGCCTTCCCACACAGATCACTGGCATGACCGAGTGCTGTCGACGCATCCACGTG